GAAAAAGCCTAATAGGAACTCTGGACAAAGCCTCTTAAATACTACCTACTAGCACACTTATCCTTAAATTGCATTTCCCCAAGATGCACCTTCAAAATAAAAGTATCTTTGGAGATTCTTGGGGAAGAAACCTTGGCATAGTGCATTATATGCTTATCTGCTAAATGAAAAGTTGGTGGTTGGAAACTACCACCTGCTCCATCGCTGTAAGATGAGAGACTGTCTTCCCTGCTAAAATTTCTAGCCTTGGCAACGCAATGGAGGGTCTTTCCTTATAAATTGGGATGAATTTGATGGCAGTGAGGTTGGCGTTGGTGTTTGGAGACAGGGAGCCCTCCTGGAATATATGATTCCAATATATGGAAGTCCCCAGACAATCCCACTGCCATCTCTGCTTTGATGTACTCTATCCTCATAGCCATCTCCTTCACACAAGGTTTAAAAAAACAAGGAGCTAAATAATTATTTAGCAAGTACATGGGGAGCTTTAACAAATACTGTTCTTAGTACTTTACAAATAGTAATTCCATGACACTTCCTAACAATCCTATGATGGTACTAGATACTATTAGTATTCCCACTTACAGCTAGTGAAACTGATGCACATAAGCATTCAGAAACAGACCTAGCACCAGTTAGTGGCAAAGCCAAGATCAAGCCCAGACTTCAGAGTCGACCACTACGTAAACTTAAAGTCTGGTAATCCAATTTCATTTAAGACTGAACTGAATGGGTGGGACTGAAATTACTGTAGTTCATAAAGAAAATTGTATTCCTATCCTGCGTCCTCATTTTATTGGCTATACTTTGGCAAGTAAATTAACTCTTCCAACTATCAAACTTTTTATCAGGAACCAGTGGTGTTAACTTACCTTGGGATTTTGTCAGCATTAAATGAGATTTTATGTGCAACGCAGAAAACTGCCAGAAAATTCAAGCTGGATTCAAAAGAGGCATAAGAGATATTACTGTTAATGTCAGATGGATTTTGGCTGTAGGCAGAGAATGCAAAAACATTCAGCTGTGTAGATCCTAACAAATTATGACCAACACTGAGAAAACTGGGAATCCAAAAACGCTTCATTGTACTCATGCACAACGTACACATGGACTAAGAAGCAGTTGTTCTACTAAAACTAGGGTACACTGCATTGCTGAAAATCAGGAAAGGTGTGTCAGGTCTGTATTAAGGATACATTCTGTGTTCTCCTTCCTGAAATGGTCTGTGTCAGCCAGTTCTTTTCAGTACAGTAACTGTGTAGTTCTCCTGTTTTCTTTCAAGGTTTCCTGGATCATTCAAGATTTTGCCCATACACTCCTCCAGTACTGCAATTTGAGGCTTGAAATTTGTTCTTTAGTTCCCTCAGCTTGGAAGGGAAGAAACGCCAAGTGTGAAATGCCCTTTTGATTTTCTGACTTCAGTTCTTTGTACATTTTGTTATAATACTGACTGTTATAATACTGACTTTCCTTTGTCTTCATGAACTGCCCTTTGAAATTTTCTGTTCAATTCTTTATCATTTCTTCCCTTTGTTTTGGCTTTTCAGGGTTCTAGTGCAATATTCAGAATGTCTTCTGGCACCCATTTTGGTCTTTTCTTCCTTCTGTTTTAGTAATGATCTTTAGCCATCTTCACCTATCTTTGAAGTTATTCCACAGCTTATCTGGTCTTCAGTCATCAGTGTTCAATGCTTAAAGCTTGTTCTTGAGATGGTTTTAAAATCCCCTGCCCAACAAAATGACAGATTTGAAGTGCTTGCCCTAGATCAAGGACTACATACAGCCTTCAATATGGATTGCATCTCAACATCAAGAAATAAAAAATTCTCACCACTGGACCAAGTAACATCATGATAGGTAAAGGACAGAAATTGTCAATTATTTCATCATACTTGGATCCACAATCTATATCCTTGGTACCAGCAGTCAGGAAATCAAAAGATGAGTTTGATTAGAAAATCTGCTGCCAAGGACCTCTTGCTCATCATGCTAAAGAGCAACGCCGCCAGCCTAAAGTGCAGCAGATCTCAGCCATGGTCTTCTCAATTGCTCTCTATGCAACTGAAAGCTAGATTAAGGATGACAGAAGAGAATTAATACCTTACAGTTGTAGCGCTGGAGAAGAGTATTGGACATCCTATGATCTGCCAAGAGAATCAACAGATCTGCCCTGGAGAAAGTGAGACCAAGGTGCTCCTTTAAGGGAAGGATGGTGAAACTCCATCTCATACACTCAGGAGAGGACAGTTCTTGGGGGACATTATACTTGGGGAGGTAGGGAAAAGTCAGCACAAGAAAGGAAAACTCTTGATGAGACGGACACTATGACTATAGCAATGGGGTAAGGTGTGTTGGAGAAGATCAGGTGTGTAGCAAGGTTAAGGACCACTGTTCATAGGTTTGCTGAGTAGTAGTCAACTCAACGGCACATAACAATTTAACCTGTATGCTGAGCAAATCATTCAAGAAGCTGGACATTATAAAGAATGTGTATAAAGAATGTGGCATCAGGATTGGAAGAGACCCATCAGCAACTTGCCTTATGCAGATGACACAACCTTGCTTGCTTTAAATGAAGATGTGAAGCACATACTGCAGAAAATCAAAGAACTACAAGATGGAAGGACAGTGACTGTAATAATGGGTCTTCCTCTTTTTACTATTTACCAAGCATGCTGTCCTTCTCCAGAACCAGGCACTCTCAATTACAGGCCCAAAATATGTGAGATGTCATCTTTCTCTTTTCTAAGAAACATTCTGCCTTATTTTTTAATCATTATTTTATTGGTTTGTATAAAATGACATATATATTATATACATTGCGCTTTATACAAGCATTCACATATAAGATTTCATTCATGTGCTGTTTTATATAATCTTATTTTACAGAATTACTATTTTCACCTTTATAATCCCATCTTATCAAGCCTTCACTGCACCTTGCCTAGTCCTTCACCCCTCCATGCACCCACTAATTTCTGTCTAGTGGTTTCCACCCCCTTTCTTCTTTCACTCCCCTTTTCCCCTACCTCTTTTAAAGAGTTATCCATAACTTGTTCCAACTTTGTAATTGCAATAGCCAGTGTCCTGATGTCAGTTCTTGCAGGGTTGATCCTCCCTTGTCCACTGTCTACACATTCTATTTCCTACCCCACCCCATTTTACACAGTAGTGGTCTCACATAGTCTTTGTACTTTGGATTGGTGTATTTCACTTAGCATAATGCATTCAGACTTAGTTCAAGGGGCATTTTTTCTTTTGATAATCCATTGTTGTTGTTATTGTTAAGGCAACTCATAGCGACCCTATGAACGTAAGACCTGAACACTTGTATAATAACTCTGATCATTTCTCCAAGTTCATAAGGTTTCCGGAGGCAAGCCATTTTGGAAGTGGATGCCACTCCTGCTTCCAAGCTTGCTTTAATCAGAGAGCTCCACCAAACACTGTCCACCATGGGTAACCATTATTGCATTTGGCACATCAGGGTCACAGTGTTCAGCATCACAGCAACCAGGAGTTAACTCTGTACAGCAATTCATGGTATATTAAATATTTTTAACCAACCCTACAACTCAAAAGCATTAATCCTTTGCCCTTCTTTAATTGTTCAACTTCTACACATATATGAGACAACTAAAAATATCACGGCTTGGATCAGGAATACCCATACTGTTCATAGTGCCAATTAAAACTTATGGATCACAACAGAATGCTGGGATCTGGAAAGATCCGTCAGTAAAGGCTATCATGCGAGTGAAGCAGAGAATCAATGAAGGTGAGGCAGACCCTCAGTAAAATGTATTAGCACACGTGCAATGATGGACTTGAACAAGGTCCTGATTGTGAGAGAGATACATGACATGGGCAATTATTTCATTTTTCTTGTGCAGAAAATTTCCATGAGCCAGAAGTGACAGAGCCAATAATGTAGTTATGACGGTTACTAGTGAAGCAGTAGCAGCTGATTCAGACTCCTGGCAACTCACAAGCTGGACTGAACTCCACAGGGGCTTCAATGGCTATTCCTTGAAAGGATATTTCAGAACTGAGCCGTCATGACTATCTTCCACAGCTTACTTGGTAATTAACATTTACTAACATAACCACCACCTAAGCATTAAATAGATTTCTTTTTCAAAACAATCCAATTAGATAAATTCTACTGTAACCACCCTATCAGTGAAGAAATTAAGGATAAAAGAACAATTTAATATATTGGCTGCCCACGAAGTCATGAAACTACCAACTGTTAGACATAGGATTCAAACTCAGATTTTCTAAAAGAAAAAGGAAAGTGGACATATAAGCTTTAAAACCTATTTTGTTACTATACAAGGCAAAAAAAACCCCAAACCAAACCAACCAAAAAACCCAACAAAACCAACATACAAACCTACCTCAGACACTTTCAAGTTAGGCTGTATCCACTGAAGGCAACCTGTCCCTGCCACCCTCTAGGCCTCTAATTAGTTTTCAAAATCAAAGGTACCTCTCGAGACAGATGAATCCCAAGCTGCCACATCTTTGTATTCAAAGAGGAAACCTTTTCTAAATCCTCTCTTTCCAAAATCCTCAACAGAATTCATCACCAATACTTACAGTGGTAAACCTAATGTTGCTAAATTAGAAGTTAAAATAATATTTATTTCATAGTCCAAGATTCAGACATAAATTAGTGCAGAAAGTATTAACTGCTGTGGTGCTGCAATCTCTGATGAAATAAACACACATGGACTTTTTTATTTGAAAAATTATTCTTTAATATATGTTATATTTAACAGTATAAAAATAAAAAAGCCATTCTTTACAAAAAGCAAAAGTAGTGAGCTAATAAATAATAGCAAAAGAAATGTAAAAATAAATAAAAAGAACTTTTAAGAAGACTTAAAAGCTACTTTCTTAAACTACCACATAACAACACATCTAATAAACAAATTTAATAGTTAAACTATCTACTGAGCTTCTACTCTGTTAAGGCAATAAAAAATAAATCAGTATCAGGGTTCCAGATTTACAATACTATGCATTTTCACCAATTTGTTCATCCGTTTATTTTTCTTCCTTAAGACTTGACGCCCTTGTTTAGAAACATATTGAAAGTATCTACAACCTAAAAAAAAAAAAAAAAATTAAAGAGCTTTAATATTTATCAAAATTTTTAAGTATTTTTATATTTTGCTTCAACTCTGATACACTGATTATAAAAATACATGTATTTATATTATCTATACCAACACAAAGGAGTTCTGGTGACATGCTGTTGTTGTGTACTATTGAGTCAGAACCAATTCATAGCTGATCCTCCAGTGAGTTTTCAGAGGCAGTTAACTACATGGGAGGAGATTGCCCATCTTTATCCTATGGAGTAGCTGGTAGCTTTGAACTGCAAAGCTTTGTACTGGCAGCACAATTCCTCACCACCACGCCACTAGATCTCCCTTCTGGTAGCATGCTGTTGTGTACCACTGAGTCATAACGAACCATACCTGACCGTCCTGGTTTTCAGAAGTAGTGAATCACAGAGGAGACTGCTCATCCTTCTCCTGCGGAGCAGCTGGTGAGTTCAAAGTGAGTGTCTTTGGATTGCAGCACAGCCTCTTCCAATGGCAGAGTGCATTACATTTTAGGCTATAAACAACAGCTGCCAGTTCAAATCCACCAGCCATTCCTCAAGGACTTACAGCCAAGGAAGCCCAAGGCCCAAGGGAGAATAATCATGAGTCAGAATCAACCCGACAGCAGATGATTTTGGGGTTACATCAGTATGTACCAATACCTACACATATTCAAATATCTGTCACTAATAAAATGTGTTGCTTCTTACAAAATTAAAAAAAAAATATACCTTAGTTCATTTTCTATCCTCCCCTCTCAAATCCCAACTGTAATGATTATCGTCTCCAAGAACAAATTACTATATCTTTTCTCTCAATGTTAGCCTAAAAATCAGCCTCAAAAAGTCATCTATCAAAACATTAAAGTTCTCTGCAAAAAACTCTAGTGTGAAAGACTAGAATAAAGTAATCATAGGATGGAAAAAAACAAAACATTATCTATTTTCTTATATCATCTAGCAAGCAACTACATGATCATTATATAGTTTGGCAAATGACTTAATATTCATTATCCTTCTACCTGCTTCTGATAAGCTTCTAAGTAATTTAATTCATTTAGCAAATATTTCAGAGATGCAAATAAAATAAAACAGAAGATACTCTAAGTAATAGAATTTTCCATATTCAATAAATGAGTAATAAGATGCTAATTCATAGATGAGAAATAATTTTATTTCAGATTGTATATATCCATATATTCTGGGAAATTGCTATACCTATAGATGGTACCTATAGATACCATTATATTTTCTCTGAAAAACTATACATCAGAAATGTCTTATTCTATTAGCTGGGAAGAACTCATTTCCATGTTACTTAAATAATCTAGATTTCTAAATTCATCACATTATTTTAGAAAAAAGTAAAAGTATAGTAATATCTGTTTCCTAAGATACAGAAAATATTTCACTCCCTTACAAACAACAACAAAAAATGTGAAATAAAACACAAAATCCTAATTCCTCTGGAGCCTACAAAAAGAGCAACCAAAGAATAAAGGCCCTTCCAAGGAGAAATGGGTGCACAGACTGGCTCACTGATAGCAGAATGTGGGAAGAAGAGGCAACCACAATGTAAGTGGCTCCTATTCAAAGTATAAAGGAAGCAAAAGAAGGCAGTAAGTACAGTTAGAACGTGGCAGCAGTAACAGAACAAAAGCAAATCCAACACAGTTTATCTCCTCAGGAAACTGACCCAACTCTCGTACTACTGCCCTGGCAGCAGAAGAAACAACCATTTTTAGGCGTAAGTATGTCTGATAGTCAAATAATACTTTAGAACTTAAAAAACATTTTGACATTATGTTCACTTGACAATCTTATATGCAAATAAAAACTGCTGATACACTACTCATTTAATAGAAAGTTCATAAAAGTCCTAACACTGGAAGATGAACTCAGATCTACTAACTGCTCAAACTGTATTTCTACTTATACTCATGAAGTAGAAAATCACAGTTCAAATAATTTGTCCCTTGATGAATGCACTATGAGAAAATGTTATTTTATGAACTTTTTTCTCATAAACTCAACAATTTACACATTTTATTTAACTATTATGAATTTAACTACACCCCTCACCAAATTATGTGACATAAATTCTTGCATCTACACCTGTGGCTACAATTCCATGTAGGAATGAGTCTGTCTTGTTATAACAACACAAGATTAATATAGAGAGTGTTAACCTCTTTTGAGATATGAAAGAGATTAAACAACCAAACTAGCAAACAAATGGGCTAGGATACGTGGAGATCTCTGTGAAACCTAACTGTAAGAAATTTCTGCTTCTTAAAGTCACCCACTTATATTATTCCTGTCATAACAGCACTAGGTAAGATACTTATCACAAACATTCATTAGGAATACTAATTCCAAATAGGACAACTAACTCCAAAACAGGACTCAAGTACTGACTAGCGGCCACTGTGAGCTTTATTTTCTTTACTTGTGAACATATTCTATAGCCATTTCATTTCAGTATTTTCTTCTTTTTCATATTCCAGTGGTCCAGAGGAGGTAAGAGCTTTACTGACCATACAAAGAAAATTCAAGTATCCTTCCCCCCCCCCAATATTTTAATATGTGAATGGAATGTAATCTTTTTCTTAACGAGAATAGAATTCTTTTTCTTCCAGGAGCAAGATAAAGAGAGCTAGCATATAGATTAACAAAGAATGTCTAGTTCTTAAAAAGGAGGCAATCTCATTAAACTTTCTATGCAATGCCAAATGATTATTTGTTGTAGAATCAGTCTATATCTATTCTCTAATGTCAAAGAGTGTCATGTTAGAATACACAAAAGCCATCACAATCCCAGTACATACTCTACGGATTTGTTGTTGTGTACCATCAAGTCCGAGATGACCCATAGCTAACCCTTCAGTGGGTTTTCAGAGGCAGTACATCACATGGAAGGAGACTGCTCATCTGCCTCCAGTAGAGCAGCTGATGGATTTGAACCTCATACCTTTGTATTGGCAGGGCAATTCCTTACCACTCAGCCATCAGAACTCCTTTAGAAATGGTAATTTATATCTTACAAGGACATCACACTTTGTCCTAAGTAAGGATTTATTCTTTCATTCAATAGTTATTTCCTGAGCACATAATATATTTTAAATAAAACTTGATTTTGTTATTTTAAAGAAAGTTTACAGAGAACTTAGATTTTCATTCATTCACTGTTACACGTTTTACGCCCCTCCCTCCATTCTGCCTCCCCCAGTATACTTTAAAACAAAACAAAACAAAACACACAAACATTCACTCATGATTGAAAAATTACCTCCCATCCCTCCCCCTAGTCCTTTTTGCAATGTACCTCTTATTCTGGGCTGTTTTATGTATAATGTCTAATTACATATTCTTTTTAAACATTTCTTTCCTTCATCTATTCCAGTGCAATGCTCATTATCTATCCACTCTTATCCTATTCTCCTCCCAACCCATGTCAGACCTGCTTTATAACAGTATTTGTCCTTTTGTGACCAAGATACTGAACTCAACATAATTTCCTCCACAGTCACCCATGTTGTGTAATGTTTTATGAGTTCTCTACTTTTCAGTGCTGCTCAGTATTCAATTGTATGAATATACCATAGAGCTTCTATCTATTCATCTGTTGATGGGCACTTGGGTTGCTTCTACCTTATTGTGAATAATGCAGCAATAAACATGGATGTGCATATTATCTGCTTGGGTTTCTTTAGGGTATATTCCCAGTACTGGAATAGCTGGGTCAAATGTTATTTCTATTTGCAACCTTTTGAGAAAGCCCCAAACTGCCTTCTATAGTGATTGCACCATTTTACACTCCTATAAGCTGTGAATAAGGGTTCCCAGTCTCTCCATAATCTTCCAGCATTTACTGTTTGTGCTCTGCAGAACTCTAATATTGTTGCTAAGGCACATAATATGCCAAGTAGGCTCTAATGTGAATATATGGTTGTACTTTTTCATTTCAAAATTGTCCAAAACATGTTTATATTTATAAAAAAAACAAACCACAGCATACCTTTTCCTAATAGTAATCCAGCTACAAAAGCTTTCTCATAAGCTAAAGCTTTATCTTCTGTCCAATCACATTTTGCCCAAAAGTAGCTGAAGTGAAAATTTGGCCACCAGGTTTTCCTGGAGTTCCACTCTTCCTGAACCCAAACGAGATGATTTCTGGGGGGGAAGATCACAAGGGAAGTCACTGATGCGGCTATATTTATGCAGCCAGAATTTGAACTTAAGGAGAGTCTAAAGAAAGATGATAAGGAAGATGTTTCCAAACTAAATGCTGGGTAGGACCAGCCCACAGCAAGATCATCAACAACAGGAAAGTAAATTATTATGTTCTTCTTTTTCACCCTACATCCCATTTTCCATTTAATTCATTTCAGTGGTTAAAAGCCTAAATGATTTAGGATAAATTGCTTAAACTTAGTTTGTTTAAGAATACTAATGATACACATTCCTTAGCATTATTAGAACTAAACCATTCCAGTAGCTACAGCAAGTCTAATGTTAATTTCTTGAGAAAATGTCTGGTATATAGGAAATGTTCCACAAATTTTAATTAGTAGTATGATATGAAAGATACTTTAAGACCTTACTTTAAATTATATGTGACAATAATTGCTGTATGAGTCAAGTTGCCATTATTATACAAATACACTGATGGACTTGACAATTGAACTGAAGCAATGCTAAGTGTTCTTCAATAATTTAATTTAGAACATACTTAATTAGCAGCTATGTGTTCCCTGTGGCCGAATTTCTAGAGGTTTCTTTAACTTTAAGAACTTTATGGTTTAGTATAGGTTTATGTAGTGTTTCGGACTTGAAAAATTATTTGCTGTGAGTGGACCAGCAAACCACACTGAAAACATTCTCTGTTCAGCCCTTGTTTATCTATAAAGTCAAGTCATATTTGAAGTCTAAAGTTTCCACTAACACTGATTTTAATGGTTTTAATTAATTAATAAATAAATAAAATTTTGCGATATCCCTTCTTGTACACAAAGTAAAACTCACAAGAATCACTCATTTTCTTACTCAAACTGTGGCACTAAGGACATTAGAACCAGAGTCCTTTGGTTCTACATTTTGATATCCAGTTCAGAATAATAGCACTTTTTAAAACTATACTTATTATATTTGTATTTCTTTGTTTCTGTTATACTCATAAAAGGACTGTAAAGACATAGTTAAAGAAATCTGAAAACAAACTTTATTTAAAAATTCATGGACGTTAGTTAAAATACTGAGAAATATGTTACCTATGGTAGTTCAACAATAAATACTGCTTGATACTTACCTCATTAAGATCTGTTTCAGGTATTTTGCTAAATACTTCCATGCAGTTATATTCTTGGCACAGCCAGCGAAATCTAAGACCGCAAACAACACTTCTAGGGCCAGTTTATGATGTTCTTCTTTTTCTACAATAATCAAACTAGCTTAAGTTTAGGTATTCATAAAGTACACAAAGTCAATATATATACATAAATACACACACATACGTTGTTTTGTGCTACAGAGTTGAGAGTGATTCATAGCTGACCCTTTAGGGTGTTTTCAGAGGCTATAAATTGCACAGAAGGAAAACATTCACTGTAAGGACGCCAAGGAAGGATAGAACACAGTTCAGGCCAAGAAAGCCTGCCAGGTGGCTCTAAAGTGATTTACAGTCTCTGAAATCTGTAGTAGTCTCTGAAAATCTGTAGGGTCGGCTTTGAGTCAGTTCCAACTCGAAGACACATAAAACAATATACACACAAATGATATAGTATTAGAATAAAAAGGCTTAACGTTTGGTTAACAAAAACAATTCTTACATTCATACCCTGTTCTGATGAATTTGGAGATTTTAATAATTTAGTATACTCCCATTGCAAGGTTACAGAAGGAATTTTAACATCATATGGGTTATATTCTTCCATATATGTATTTCTGAGAACACTATTTTATGTAGCTGTCTTATTTTGCCATGTTCAATATGGTCTCTTCTATTAGGAGAGGACATAGGCCATCTCAGCACCTAATGAGTTTAGTAGTTCAGTTTCTTCAGTGAAGGATTATGTTCTGAAACTCAGTAGGGATTACTATGAGGTGAATTATGTAAATTGCAGTCTATTCTCTTTTGCTAATCATTACTTAATGTTTAACAGCAGAGATGAATAAACTGTGTGTGTAAATGGTCAGAGTAAATAACCTAGTCTTTGTGGTTCCTACAATTTGTTACAAATACTGATCTCTGCCATGGTAAAGAGAAAGCAAACAGACAATTTACACATGAATAGGCTTGGCTAAGTTCCAAAACAACTAACACTTGAATGGGGCAGCTTTTGGTTAATTTGACAACTTGTTTTACAGTTCATACAAAGAGGTACAAAACAAAAATAATTTACCTGAATTTCGAAGTATTCTATGAAATTCTAACATCAGTTTATGAGATGGTACAATCTGATACAAAGTCTGAAAAATAGAATTATTTTGTCACTTTTATAAACCCTCAGGGCATTTTCATATTTCAGCTTGCTTTCAAAGAAAATGCTTTTAAGCTCTGGTGGCCCACTGGTAAGAAGCTGTACTACCAACCCAAAGACAGTTGGTTTGGATCCATCAGCTGCTCTGTGGGAGAAAATGGGAAATCTCCTTTTGTGCAATTTATTGCCTCTGAAAACCCACAAGAGGCTTAGTTATGACTTGGTTCAACATGCTTTCAATAAATAAAGGATTTAGAAGAAAATAAACAATATGTAACAACAATATGCTCTCTGTAAATAAAGGATTTATTTCTTTATTTGGTATAATCTTTGTGGAAGTAGACAGCCAAGCCTTTCCCAAGTTGCTGCTTGATGCAAACCTTTTAGTAGTTGACAGTAAACTACGTGAACCACTCAGGAACCTCAACAGTGCAGGAGAGTTTTCATTTCTCCACATCATTGTTGGTCCTTGTTACGGCCTGTCTTTTTAATTCTAGCCATCCTACTTAGTGTTAAGTCATGTCTCATAGTGTCTTGATAAGCATTTCCTTGCATTTCAATGTGTACAATGTTCATTTCCATAACCTTCTTGGGCAAATGTCCAATCTGATCATTGGTCTATTTTTATCATTTTATTATTCAGATGTAAGATGAAAAGAACTACATTCTCAAACTATAATCTAAGGATTGTATATTGTAGATATCAAATATGACTTACAAATACTGTTTCCTAATTATATGAGATGTATTCTCACTTTCTGTAATGACATCATTTGCAACACAATTTTTTTTTTAAATTTTAAAGAAGTCTAGATAATTCTGAGTTAGCCTTTTAGTCTGTGCTTTCTGAAAATAACCTTTGGAATTAGTCAGCAGTCAAAATATCTTTCTTTGTTTTTTCAAAGTGATTAAAGTTTGATTAATATAAGATTTTCAAATTAGAGTAGCATTTTTTAATTGAGATTTTACTGTAAATTTATTAAGAACTTGGATTTCCATTCATTCATTGTTGCACATTTTCCTCCCTGCCCCACCCTCCCAGTTCTCTTTTTCCTTTGGGAAAAAAGTTATTTCATTGTCCCCAGACCCCAGACCATTTTACTATGTACCTCTTATTCTGGACTGTTGTCGTGCAAATAATGCCTAATCAAATATTCCTTTTATACAGTTCTCTCCCTTGTCTGTTTAAATGCTTTGTACATTATTTATCCCCTCTTTTCTTAGTCTTCCCCTAACTCCCACGTCAGCCCAGTTTGATAACAGTGGCATTATGCAATATTTGTCTTTTTGTGACTCAGATATTTCACTCTGCATAGTGTCTTCCATGGTCACCCATTTTGTATATTTCATGAGTTCTTTGTTTTTCAGTGCTGCATAATATTCCATTGTGTGAATATACCACAGCTTCTCTATCCATTAGTTTGTTGATGGGCACTTGAGTTGTTTCCAACTCTTTGCTATTGTGAACAAACCTGCAATAAACATGGTTGTGCATATGTATGCTTGGGTGGCAGTTCTGGTTTCTTCAGGGTATATTCCCAGCAGTGTAATTGCTGGGTCAAATGGTATTTCTATTTCCAACTTTTTGTGAAGGCTTCATACAGCCTTCCACAGTGGCTGCACCATTTTATACTCCCACCAACAGTAAATAAGGGTTCCAATTTCTCCACAACCTCACCAGCATTTGTTCTTTGCTGCTCTGTTCAATTTTGCTATTCTTACTGGGGTGAGATGGTATCTCACAGTTGTTTTGTTATCTTTGATTTCTAAATTAGCCAGGTTACAATTGTTTTTGCTGTTGTTATGTGCTATTGAGTCGAATGAGAATCACAGTGTCCCTATGCACAACAGCTCTAAGCCCTGTCCTATCCTGAGCCAATCTCACTGTTTCTGACACTCCTGCTCCTTCTGCCCCAGTAACTGTGTCAATGTATCTCATTCAGGGTCTTTATCTCCTGCTTTGCTCCACCATCCTTCCAAGAATGATAGTCTTCTCCAAGAATGTTGCCTTCTGGCAACATGCTCAAAGTATGTGAGAGGGAGCTTCAAAATCCTTACCTCCAGAGAACAAATATAACTCTCTGATGCATATTTGCACAGCAAATAACTGTGAAGATCATGCTTAGATTAGACACCCCTTAGTCTCTAGACTAACATCTTTGCTTTTCAGCACTCTGAAGAGGTTCCTAACCCAATTTTCCTAATCCAATTAATCTTTTGGTTTCCTGGCTGCTAGAACCAAAAGTGTTGATTGTGGCCCCAAGCAAGCTGAAACTGTTAACAATCTCAGTCTCTTCTCCCTCTGTCATGGTGTTGTCATTTGGCGCAGTGAGAATCTTCGTTTTTTTGATGTTTAGTTTCAATCCATATTGAAGACTACAGTCCTTGACTGTCTGCAGAAGATGCGTCAGCATCTCCTCAGTTTCAGTGAGCAAGGTTGTGTCATCTGCATAATGCAATTTGTTGAGGAGTCTTCCTCCAATCCTGATGCCACATTCCTTCTCATAAAGCCCAGCTTCTCAAATGATCTGTTCCACATATAGATTGAAAAGGTATGGAGACAAGACACATTCCTGACACACTTTTTTCCTGATTGTGAACCATGCAATGTTTCCTTGATCTGCTCTGATGACTGCCTTCCAGGTCCAAACATGGGTTTCACATGAAACCCTGCCTCTAGGACCTGCTAGCCCTGACGATCTACCCAGCATGCCAATATCACTGAGAAGTACAGTGAAATAAGTGGAGAGAGGTGACTAGAGACCTGACACACCTTATCAGTTTAGCTGGGGGAAGTGGGGAGAGGTTGGTGTTGGCAGGACAAGGCGAGGAAATGGAGGTAACACTTAAAGGTGTACAAATATAGTCAGGATCCTCCAAGGTGTGGACCTGCTAAATAAGTGAATCTAGTAAGATTTATCAGAGCCTAAAATCTACTATTGGGCAGATAGATAATAGATCAGAGTAAAAAGTCTAATTTGTAAGGACCTAGCTTTCAGTGCCAGCAGACAGAACCATACTGCCATCATTTTGTAAAGACCTACTCTGAGTGGGTAGGGTCAGAGAGAGAAAATAACACTTGGGTGGCTGGTGTCAGTGATGAAGTCAGAAAATCAGGATGTCAATTACATTTCCATTTTGAGAATCAGTCTTAAAAAATTATTCTTAACATGCCAGTTTATGGATTTTTTTTCTTTTGTTGTTCATGTTTTTGGTGTTATATTTAAGAATCATTGAAAAATTCAAGCTTATGAAGATTTATGTTTTCTTCAAAGAATTGTATCAGTTTATGGTTTCTCATGTTCCAGGGGAATCATCCCAAATTTTAACATATTCTACAGACTCTTTTACAAAGACAGACAAATCATGCCACTCAGAATGAGAGAAAATCATCAGCATGGCACCACGATACTGCTTTATCATGAAAACAGAGAGGGAATCATGAGCAAATTAATGTAGGTATTCTCCCAGAGGTGGACAATAGAAGTCTCTCCAGTGAAAGCACTCACCAACCACCCTGGTGTTGTTATATGTCATCGAATCACCTGCGACCCCATGTAAAACAGCACTGAACCCTGCTCTATCCTGTGTCAATCTTATTGTCTCTGACAAACCTACCCTCATTACTCCAGTCACTGAGTCAATCCATCTCATCGAGGATCTTCCTCTGCTGCGCTGTCCTCCACCCTGCCAACCATGATTTCCCTCTCCAAAGACTGGTCCAATGTATTTCAGACAAGGAAGCTTAACACATTGCTACACACTTTTAAATTGACAACTGTGCTTAGAAACATATTTGCCATCATTTGCAACAACGTGTTAAGAATCCTTGCCTCCAAGGAGCAGTCTGGTCTCACCCTCTCTAGGATGAACTTGTTTGTTCTCCTAGCAGTCCATGGTATATTCAATAATCTTCTCCAGCACCACAGCTCATAGGCTTCTATTCTCCTCCTATCCTCTCTAGTCACTGTCCAACTTTCTGATGCTTATGCTTAGTAAGTAATTGCAAAGACCATGGCCTGTATCAAGCACACTCAGTCTCCAGAATGGTACTGTTGCTCTTCAGTACAACAACAATGATTTCTTAAACAAAAAAACAACACAACAACAACAACAACAAAAAAAAGCATTACCCTCCAAAAGAAAAATAAAATGCATAAACTGGATTTCATCACAATTTTTACATTTTAATTCTGTGTTTTATAGGCACTTGTTAAGAAAAAAAAGAGATGAGGTATAGACCAGGATAATAAATGTAAAATTCATAAAGTGAAAACAGCTTTATAACCTGTTATAGTGAAAATCATTAAGAAAATAACTCTTCAAAACAGATACAATGTTGACCAAGTATTTCACAAAGGATGGGCTAGCAGCACATCAGAAGACATTCAACATTATTCATTAAGAAACTGATAATTAAAACCACAATGAAATATCACTATAAATTCACTTTAAAAAACAAAACCATCTCATTGTTACTGAGGCAATTCCACTTTTGAACAACACTTCAAGACAGAGTAGAACTGGCTAGAGGGTTTCTAAAGCTACAATCTTCAAGGAAGCAAACAGCTCCATCATTTCTGTCACAGCACAGCTAAAGGGTTCTCTAACTGCTCATGTTTTAATTAAGAGCTAATGAGCTTTAACCACTAGATAGCCAGGTTAAATAACAACTCACTCAAAATTCACTGCCATCAAGTAAGAATCAACTCACAGCTGACCTTCTACCACATTTTCAGAGGCTGTAAATCAGAGGACGGAAACTGTCCATCTTTCTCCAGTGGAGCTGCTGGTGGATTTGTGCTATCAGAGAGACAGCACCTTTGGGTTGGCAGTGCAACTACACCATCAGAGCTCCTAGAACATCTATAATTCAAAATGCTAACTATACCCAGAATTGGCAATGATGTAGAAAATGGAACTGTCATACATTGCTAGTGGAAATGTCAATGATGCAGTTACTCTAGAAAATAGCTGGGTAGTTTCTTAAAAAGTTAAGCACAGCCTTTACCAGACATCCTACCCCCAGGTAGTCAAAAGAAATGAAAATGTATGTACAATGACTTGTACTTGAATGTTCACAGTAACATTATTCATAATAGAAAAAAAAATAAATAACACTAACCCAAATGTCCATCAAAACCTGAATGTATAAACACCACTGCTAACATTAAAGAACAAATTACTGATACACACAGTAACATGAATGACTCTTAAAAACACTCTAAGCAAGAGAAGCCAGACAAAAGATTACATATGGGAAGATCCCACGTCTATGAAATTCTAAGAGGCAAAATTCATTTACATTGACAGAAATAGATGGGGGAATCACCTAAGGTTATGAAGGTGTAGAGAGCTGATGGGCTATAAAGAGAAATATGGGATGAGATTAGTGAAGCCTAAGTGCTCCTCAAAGGTACTGTGGGCATGTTGGGGGGCAGGGCAGCAATCCTTGAAAAGGGATATCATGCTTAGAAATGTGGAGATCAGTAAAAGACAGAAGGACCCCAATGAAACAGACTGACACAGTGACTGCAATAATTGGTTCAAGTGTGTCAGAGTTGATGAGGATGGCACAGGACAGGACAGGGTTCAGGTCTGTTCTTAATGTCACTATGAGTTGTATTCAGCTCGACAGCACCTAACAACAGTAACATGGGCAACTATCATACATGAAAATATGTCCAACTATATCCTTTAAATAGGTGCACTTTACTGTATGTATGTATGTATGTATGTATGTGTGTGTGTGTGTGTGTGTGTGTGTGTGTATTTTTTTTTTCCAGTAAAGTCAATTTGCCAAAACTATAAATGCAGTACTTTATAAACAGAATGCCAACGAGCTACTGAAATACTGATTATTTCCCCTCTGCCTCATAGGGAAAATGAGGGAGAGCTTAATGAATCCTTCAGCTGTGAGCAGTGGTCTTCTATTTACCATAGATTAATTTTTTTGAGTGTTCTAAATTGAAAGTTGAAAAGCACTGATCTAAGAAAATTTTAAAAAAAGTAGAGACTCCCAAGGCTACTTGAACACTGAAATAAAAATTTTGTACCTTAAGCACACTTATCAGTTTCTCTTTCGGTGCCTTCTCTTTCTTTAAAAAGTTGTACAAGTAGACATGGGCATTTGGATTTGATGGAAATTTCTCATCATATGCATAATTAGTGAGAACTTCTCGGGCTCCATCTTGATCCCCATAGAATTCCAGCATCTACAGAAAACAAGGCATAAATTAGATCTATGGATTTGTAGACTGCTGTCAGACAGATCAAAAATATCTTTACTAAAACATACTAGAAGTCACAAAATTGACAGAAAGAACCATACAGAGGATAACTGTAATGTTAGTTTTGTTTTTATCATATGTTACATGTTTCAGCATATGTTACAAGCTTTATGGAGTGCATACACACACAAAAATCACTTAGAATACCTACGTATCGTCTCAATTTTTTCCCTTGATATTTTGCTACTAAAAAAGATTTGGACTCTCAACATTAGGACCATATCTATAGTAAGAAATAAAGTCCTCAAAACAAGAAATGTTAATGACGGGAAAAAATCACTATGTGACATAATTAACCTCAATGCCCTACATACCCTCACAGCCACAAAAAAAGCACAAGGAACACCATTTCATTTCCATCCTTGCATAGGAATTCCCAAATTCACTGGCATATAGTTTCAGAAATTATCTCCTGACATTATAGTTATCATGTTAACAGTCATTAAACTTTGACCAACCAAATTCTTTCTTAAGACTTTTCTTAGTATCCAATGCTAAGACACTCGAGCTTTTCACAATGACTTGGCAAAGGATATAATTAGAAAGTTTCTAAAAGTTATGCATCAACTCATACATTGTGATCTAGTTTCAGATTTTCTTCTATAAACTTTATCAAATCTTTTCTTTCAAACTAAACAAAAATAAAAACCTAAAATTTACAACTCTTTCTATTTATTTATAAGAATTTCGTAACAGCTAGGTATTTAGTGGTGAAACTAAAGAGAGTAACATGAGTTCAATGCCACTGAACCAAGTGACTCAACAGTAACCCTACAGAACAGGGTCAAACTGCCCAGAGGGTGTCCAAAGATGTAGCCTTTCTGGAAGCAGACGTCTTCATCCTTCTCCCAAGGCACAGCTAGCTCATAGGTGTGAACCACTGGCCTTCCAGTTAGGAGCTGATGCTTTCACCCACAGAGTCACAGGGGCTCTTTGAGTAGCATTAACTGTACACTCACTCACTAAACGCCTTAGTGTTGAAACCAACACATAGCTGACCACCAAAAGGTCTTCAGAGGTGGTAAACCACAAGGAATGAGATTGTCCATCTTGCTCTCATGAAGTAACTATTAGATTAAACCACCTGCCTTTGGGTAGGAAATACAACTCCCCAGGGAGCTCCCTAATATGTATTAATAAAAAGAAATTATTCCAACAACTGAAAAAAAAAAAAAGACAACTCTGTCTTTACTACAATCCTTTCCATAAGTTTTCTTCTGATCCATAAAGATTAGGCACTTAATGAAGTCTATTTACCTCCACATAACTCTTCACAAAAGGATCCCAAACACCAGGAATTTTAATCAATGCACAAAGATTCATAGATGTCTTCCAGCTGTGGTTAAGAATATTCCGGGTTGCTGTGTTGTAAGCATAATCATCCTCATCTGTCCAGAGATAAGATTTTTCAAAGTCATTCAGTGTTGAAAACTTCTGTTCAATTAGTAACCAAGACACCACTCAGGAAGCAAAGCTCAGGCCTGGTGGCTTCAGTGTTAAATTCTAACAAATGTTTAAAAAAAATACAGCCCACAAAATGAGAGAAAGACTTGCAAATTATGTGCCTAATATGTTGCATAAGGACTTGCATCCTTGCATCTAAAATTCTCAAAAAATTCTCTTAACTCACTAAGAGATGATAAACAGCCCTATTTAAGTCTCAGCAAGTGATCAAAACCCACTGCAATCAGTTAGTTCTGACTCTGAGCACAAAGTGTCACTGGATTTCTAAAGTTGTACATTTCCAAATCAATACACTTCCCAATACATTACACACTAAGCCATGAGGAGTCCTTCCTTAGTCGTTAGGTGCCATCAAGTCAACTATAACTCATAGTGACCCGTGAACAACAAATCAAAACTCTGCCCTCTGCTGTGCCATTCTTATGATCTCCATCACGCTCAAGCCTATTTTTTCTGTCATTGTGTCAATCCATCTCGTTGCTGTTGTTAGGTCCATCAAGTTGAGTATGACTCACAGCGACACCATTAACAACAGATTTGAATGCTGTCCTATTACGTGCCATCCTCACAAACCGTGGCACAGTCAAACCCATTGCTGCAGTCACTGTGTCAATCCATCTGGTTAAGGGTCTTCCTCTCTTCACATCCATCCACCTTCCCAACCAAGATGTCCCTCTCCAAGGCATAACCTCTTCTAGCAATATGCCTAAAGTATGTGAGACAAAGTTTCATCATCTTTGCCTCCAATGAGCAATCTGGCTTCCCCCTTCTCTAAATATGTCTGTTTGTTCTTTTTGTAGTCCATAGCATACTCAGCACTATTCTCCAACACTATAATTAAAAGGCATCAATTATTCATCATTCTTAGTCACCGTCCAGTTCTTAGGTGCATAGCAAGTTGCAACACTGACGAATTCAATGGGCAAGATCTTGAACAACATAGGAAGCATCAATAGAAGATGGAAAGAATAATTGTCATTGTACCAAAAAGAGTTGTCAGTAGAGGTGAAAAGGAAGACCCTAGATGAAATGGGACAGTGACTGTTGCAAGGAGTCAGATATGTCAGAGATGGTGAGGTTGGCTCAGGATAGGGTGAGATTCAGAGTCACCGTACATAGATAGGGTCGTTATGGAAGGTAGTTGACACAACAGCACATAACAACTACAATAACACAAAGGTGAGCTATGATAAAAATATCTGTTCGTCTTATTATTACAGTTACATTTATTTTATTCTACCTGTGCTGTATTCAAGACAAAATTAATAGGACTAGAATGGGAGGTTAAAGAAGAACAGGAAAAGAGTGGATAGATAATGAACACTGCACACAGACAAATGGGAAGGGCTGTCTGAAAGGAATTTATGATTAGACATTACATGCATGACAATCTGGAAAAAGAGCAGAAAATATGTTACAATGAATGAAGGAAAACATAACCTTTCTGTAAACTTTTGTTAAAAAAATCACACACACAAAAATTTAAAGGTTTTTAAAGAGGGGAAAACCCCACTAAAAATTCTAACCAAAGTATAAGTGGGCATGACTTTACTACAGAAAACGGGTTCCAGTCACCAAATGCATCAAACACAATAACTTGTTTCAGCAGCAATAACTGAACCCAAATGGTTGCTGTTGTTATGTAATGTTGAGTTACTTGCAACTCACAGCAACGCTATGTACAAGAACCCAAATAGAAAACCCAAATATCTATTAACTAATGAATGGATAAATAACATGTGGCATAAACATAAAATAAAATTATTATATTTGGTTAAAAAAAAGAAACTGATAAAGTATTATCAAGCCGTGATCACTTTACGATAAGAGAGATACAGTAGTCATAAAGGTATCATAGTATATGACTGTAGGAAATTCCCAAAACAGTCAAACTGACAGTCGGTTAGTTGGTTGGTGAATGCCTAGGGCCAAGGGGTTTGGGAGGAAACTGAGAGAGACTGTTAAAAATAAGTTTTCTTTTCTGGAATGAGAGAAAGTTCTAAATCTGATTATAATAAAGTCTGTACAACTCTGGCAATACACAAAAACCAATGACTTCTACATTTGAAATAAGTGAACTGTAGGGTATTGATAGAGCCTTATTACAAAAAATAATATTACCACACTCAACAAATCGTTTTAAGTGAAAAATCTGGCAATAATTAAGTGTTGGGAATACAGACAAAATGAAACTCTCACCAAACTACCAGTGGGAGTATAAACTGAACCTGCTTTAGAGCCACTCTATAACCCAGCATTCCTAGGAACACAGGCTTTACATGCCCAAGGACATCCAAGGAGCATTATTAACAGCCTTGAACATCCAAGGGAAAGTTGTTATGACTTAGGATCAAGTCAAAGGCAGTGGGGTTTGGGTTTGAGTATGTAATAAGAAAGAAAATTGGAAAAATAATGTGGCCAGTATCTCATGTAGCCTATGAAGAGCATGTACTATCATTATGAAAGACAGATCTCTTCTATCTACTCTCTCCCCTCCCCATAAAATGATAACAAAATTCACTAAAGATGTGAAAATGGCCATTAAAATAAAATAAATAAATACTAGTGAACCTACATGGCCAGAGACCAAATACCTTTAATTAAAGAAATTCTGCTTCTCTTAGATGAGGTGATAAACATCTGTACCAAGATTTGAAAGGAGAATGTGAAAATAAAAAATGGTTAATCCTTTAATACATAACTATAGGGAAACTACGCAGTTTAGGGCTGTTGTACATAGGGTCGCTATGAGTCGCAGGCGACTTGACGGCACATAACAACAACAACAACAACATATCTGGATAAGGGATTCATAGCTAAAATCTATAAAATATTCCAGCACCTCAACAAGAACAAGGTAAAAGCAATCGAGTCACAAAATGGACACAGGATATGAACAGACGCTTCACCAAAGAAGACATTCAGATGGCAAGCAAATATACAAAGGAATGTTCAAAATCCCTAGCTTTAAGAGAGATGCAATTAAAAATAACAATGAAATTTCATCTCACCTCAGTAGCAATAGCAAAGTTCAACAGAACAGCAAACAACAAGTGCTGGCAAGATTGTGAAGAAATTGGAACCCTTATTAACTATTAACTGTTGGTAAAATGCATGTAAAATGGTGCAACCATTATGGAAGGCAGTATGGCGCTTTCTCAAAAAGTTGGAAAGAATATTTGACCCAGCAATTGCACTTCTAAGAATATACTCTAAAGAAAGTAGAGCTGCCACACAAACAGATATATGCACACACACGTTTACTGCTGAATTTTACACAATAGCAGAGAGATGGAAACAATCTACATGCCCATCAATAAATGAATGAGAGAAAATTATGGCATATTCACACAATGGAACTCTACACAGCACCAAAAAACAAAAAAGTTATAAAATATTACACAACACAGGTGACCCTGGAGGACATTATGCTGAGTGAAATCTCTCAATTACAAAAAGACAAATACTGTATAACATCACTGTTATAAAACAGGACAGGCATGGGGCTTAGGAGAAAATAAAGAAAAGAGGTAATAAATAATGAATACTGCATTGGAACAGAGGAAGGAAAAAACTGTTTAAAAAGACAAACACTGCATAGTGCCACTGACATCAGGGTTGGGGTAAGAATGAGAAAAACTGGATGAATTATGTGTACTGCATTGAAAGGGGTGAGGAAGAGAACAATTTAAAAGCAATATATTATAGGGTATTATAATTAGAGTCTGGAAATTCTTCAACATAGTAAAAAGTATCTATGAAAACCCAAGAGCCAACATTGTTCTTAATGGAGAGGGGTTAAAGGCATTCCCTTTAAGAACAGGAACTAGGCAAGGATGCCCACTATCACCTCTTTTATTCAATATTGTTTTGGAAGTCTTAGCAAT